ACACACACACACACATACGCACACAGGCAGGGTCGTCCTAATATGCGTTTTTGCAATTTGCATATAGGCAAAAACGCATAAAAATGACATTTGGCAAAATAATTAACCAAAGCCTGCACACTAAACACGCGCCTCGCAAACTACTGTGCACACACTGTCCACAAAAAGACGCTAAATTTCAGGCTGATGTCTGCCATGCATATCATGTTATCAGAGGCCACGGAGTGCCCAAAGAAAACATAATCACAATGATGTATGATGATATTGCCCACAACCCGATGTAAGTCAAATATTTACGCCCATTTCATCAAGGTGATTTTTGTCATCAGCAGATTAGCTCCGCCTCGGTGCGGCAAGTGATTTTCACTGAGCAGCGTTTTGCTTAACAGTCGGCTAAACTGAGTTCACTCTAGCAAAAAAAAAAAAAAAACAAATCCCTGCTGACCCCTGATCAGCACAATTCCATTTTGTATTATCAGAGATACTTCTGCAGTAATAACAATTTCCATAAAGCTGACCACGCATGTGGCTTCACTTGCGCATGCAGCTTTCTGCCTTCTACCCATGTGTAATCCTAGGAATTCAAATTCAGCTTCCCTATACGTCTACTTCTCACATGCAGACATGTGCAGTTTCACTTAGAAAATGTTCCAGCTCGGGAATCAGATGAGATAGAAGGCTAAAATTTTAATAGAATGTATCCAGGCAATGTGTGACTCCGGGAATTTAAATTTGGCTCACAAGTCCACGTACGAATTCTTGAAAGTGTTGGCGCGAAATTTTCTAACTCGAGAACCAGACAAGGCAGAAAGCTGAAACTTTAGGCGGATATTTCCTGTCATTGTACGGTCCGTCCAGCTTTCAAGTTCGTTTAGGTCTTACGTGCGCACACATGAAAGTTTAGATGAGAAATTGTCGCTGAACACAACTGCACCAAATGCATAATCATTTGGGCTACCCAATGCACGCTGCTATTTATCTGCAGTGAGGAGGTGAGCGGTGACGGAATAAAAAAAGGACATTCTTTTTGGTTTGACGAAGTTCTTTTTGTCTAGTGGGCTGAGGAGGGAGGGGTGGTGGGGAGGAAAACGAAGTTCTTTTTTCAGCTGGGGAGGGACTATGGCGTCGTGAGTGAGGAGGGAACTCTTTTTTGAACCGGGGGTGGAGAGTAGAAGGGGTATTTTTGTATTTGGCACACAATTACGATGATAAAAACCTGTGGCGGTTTGTCTTTGTGTTTCTTAGGATAATGGACAAAAAATAAAATACTTTTTTCCGTTGTGTAGACATTCGCAGTTCAACGATCACTATAAAAAAAATAGGAAAGC